GGACTCCAACTCATCCAAGTTTTAAGACTTAAAAGCAGTTCATAGGATTCAGATAAACAAACTCAAGGAGTATTATGATTTTTACTGACTCACTATCAGTCCTACAAGCAGTAGAACAATTATCATCATTGAAATATAACAAAGATCTAACCCAAACTGTTTGGTTCCACCACCTGATAGCTTCATAATACTATTATGTTGTCAAACTGGTGATGCAATGGATTGCTGGGCACTCAAACACGGCTGGAAATGACAGAGCAGACATACTTGCCTATCAAAAATGGATCTCTAAAGAAACAGAACAGCCCAACGCCCAACACTCCAATTTCATAACACGCTGCAAAACTTCAAATCTAAAACAATAACAAATAGATCTATGATTGGACAAATAGATAGGAGAAAGACCGGAAGAGTTTTCTTACGTTTGTTTAAAATAAAACGAATTGACAATATCAACCACTGTCAGAGAAAGGAACACACCCAGGGGCGGCTCGTGGGGCTAAAAAAAGGGCGTTCACAATTAAGAAACAGCAGGTTGAAGATAGTCAAGGGCATAGTAAATGGGATGGTAGGATCTCTGGGTTGGTGAAAGAGGACCTTAATATGCTTTTATTTTCATTATTTTTACTGGTGGCTCTGATTTCTAGAACTAAATCTGTTTGTTAGCTGAACATCAAGGTCTTTACCCTGCATTGGAACTGAACACTCGAGTAATAACTTTCCCCACTCCAATACAAAACCATTGAAAGGCACAACTCATAGGGCGGTGACTAAAGTATGCAAGTTCACCTCCCTCAGGTCACGGTCACCTGGTCGCTTAAAATAGAGGCAAAAAGACAAAGAACCAATCACAATTCACTTGAGCACTCCACTGGATTGCTCCGGGGATCACATGATTTTGGCATTGAATAGTGTACTGGCTATCGCGTTTATTTTTAGATTTCCTACTGTGGGCTATGTTTCGTGGGTGCACATTTGGGATGTGCCGCCTTGTTAATATTAATGTACGCCAAACTCGCTACGAGTGTCGTCATCGCTTGGGTTATCCCAAAGAGCGATTTATAGGTCAGATAGCCACTGTTGGACGTTGGTTTAATATTCTGTTACGTTTAGTTAAAGTGTCTGAACTTTGGCATGGCATAGTAGATGCTTTTGACTCTGAAATGACAGTTACAGCGCCAGCGAGGACCTTGTTTTGATGTTATATTTGGCTAGTGTTTGTTTTTTACTTCTTTTATTTCATGTTTGTGGGTGCTTTTCGTAAAAGAACACTTAAAAATTTTGGGCGGCACTGCACGACCGTGCTCTATGAACGAACCGCGCCTGAACACACCACAATATTTCCGCATCTCAATTTCCATTTAATCAGCACACAACCATTATATCCCACACCCCCTCCCCAATTGTGAGATTTGCGTGATTACACAATGTGAGACTGTCACGCACCACCTGTTCCACTTCACAACCATAAATGACCTCAGAGCAACACTTCTCCCCCCGTGACCTAACACTGCTGACAAACGGACTCTATGGAGCATCACAACAGTTGCAGAAAAAACTGCGAGAACCTAGCTGTGGCTTTATGGACAACAACAACAACAACAACAACAACAACAACAACAACAACAACAACAACAACAACAACAACAACAACGACAACAACAACAACAACATCAACATCTAATGCAGTCCAATAAGAGTCTGTAAATTTCAAGATAGAATACATGTATACACTTGTAGTAAATTAAAATAATATTGTGGTGCCTGATCATTTAAACAAAGGACATTACTGCAATTTTGTAGTCAATTCAGAATTTAACAAGGCGCCAGTAAAAATTGTAAAAGCAATGGTGATGTGTGTTCTCTAATCGATCTTTTGATAGCAATTCTTGTAGCTTAGTTCTGGAATATTTACAGTACAGTTTATTCATTAATTCTGTTGTATGCGAAGAGTGAGTTGCAAATGTTTATACAAGATGATACAAACGACGTTACACTTTGTTTGTTTGTTTTTGTTTATGTGTTTTACTAAGCTCGCAACTGCATAAGGTCATATGAGCGCGCCGGACGCGTTAAACATTTTCAGTTGGTAGGAAATTTTGAACTTTGCCCGGGTGGCGGCCGAAGCCTACTCTTATCGACTTTGGACCACCATTAAGGGATCTTAAACTTGCGCCACGTGCTCACGGGACCTCCTAGATTTTTTGCCCTTGTCCGAGAATTTTTCCTACCAGAAGATCAGGGATGTGGCTGAAAGACAGCAGTGAGAAGGAGCCAAGGAGAGTAGCTGTTGAAAGTAGAAAGACTGCAGAAAGAGTCAGGAGCCCAGAGCAGGTGGCAAAGGAGGTGAGGGGGTGGGGGCAGAAAGTGGAGACGAAAGCACACGACAGAACATTGCTAGAGAGCAGGAACGGAGGTAAAAGGAGACAATTTTAGAGAAGAAAATGTTTCCGTCGCTACCCGGATTCGAACCTGGGACCTTTGAATGAGAGACGACCAATTAAGCTCTAGGCAACGAGAACCCCCCAACATTGTCTTGAGAGGTGCCTCAATTACAAAAAAAGGTGTGATATGTGCAATTGTTGGCATTTCTAAATTTTGGTAGAGTGCAGTCTTCCATAAATTTTGGACTTCTTTCGGTGGTGAATTTACAATTTAATATCGAAGATAGCTCATAAAAATGTTGCTATGCTGTGGAAACAAAACAACTTTCTCATGTCCAACATCAAGATAAGATAAGTCCAATAAAATTAATATTGTCAGCAAACCCTTCCGGATCTTATCGCACTTCGCCAGACTGTTGGATCCAGGTCTTCACTTCGTCTAGACGTTGATTTCTCATGCTTCGAGATAATAGGATAATTATGCATGTTGCACGGCTCTGCAGAGATTTCTTGGCCGGTCTTAATTAAATGTCTATTTAAGGGTTCGAATGCGATTACCATCTCGCAAAGGTAATTAATATCACGACGGTACAACGTTGCTGATGCACTTAAATTTAAGTTAAAAGACCGCTGTCTTGTAGGCCAAATACTGAATACACGCTTTCGCAAAGAGCCAGTGCAGTCGGGTTACACGCACTGGTGACTGGTGGCACGGTTCTAAGAAGGCCTTAGTACGTGCTTACTGAGCGTTTCTTTATTTTTTTCAACTTTGCGAGCAGTTTGATTCCAGGGTCACTGACCTTTTTCGTTCCAGTGGGAAGGTCTCCCAAAAGTGAAACGCTGCAGTTTTTGATGAAAGATAAAAAAAAAAGGACGTTCCCAATGCTTTGCTAAAAAAGAAGAAAAAAAAAGGGGGGGGGGGGGGGGTGGTTTTTGGGCAATTTTTTTTTTTTTTCTTTGTTTTGTCTGTTTTCTTTGTTTTGTTGTTTTTTTCCGGGGGGGGGTCTTTTTGTTTTTGGTGCACACGCGCTTCCCTTAATTCGAGGCAGTTTAGAATAGAAAACTGCATTTCAGATTCTAAAATCAGTTTTTCTTGCAACTGGCCAGTCCAGCGAAGCTGAGTCTTTTAATGATATTGAGCTAAGAAAACAGACTCTCGACATTTAAATTGCACTTTTGAGAACTTATCGGTGTCTGGTATTTTATTTTGCCATTTGATGCCAAGAATTCTCCTATAGGCCTAGATCTACATTAATAGCTCCCTCGCATAATTGGCCTACATTTTTTTATACAGGCTTTTTCCTCAATCCATCCTGCACCCCCCCCCCCCACCAAACAAACAAACAAACAAACAAACAAACAAACAAACGAAACAGAACCCACAAAAAAAAACAACAAAAATCCATCAAGCAAATAAAGGAAACAACCCCCCTCCCCCCCCAAAAGAAACCCCCCAAAAACCAAAGAAACAAAAACCAAATAAACCAAGCAAACCACCAACAAAGAAAACCCCCAGACAAACCCAACCCTCCTCCCCCAAACAAACAAACAATCACACAAACAAACAAACGAACTATAAAGCAAGCAAACTCAAAAACACCCCGCCCACTCTAAAATACAAACAAATAACAAAACAAAATTATCACAACAAACGTAGATCGACATCAAAACAACAAAATGCCACACACACACACACGCACACACACACTCACACACACACACACACACACACACACACATACACACACA